TTTTGTTTATGTTTAAATGAAATGCTCTTTTTTCGAAAATGGCTCAGAGGAAATCTGATCGGAAGATATGACACTGGCATAAACATCTGTTACACCCGACATCCAACAAATTCTTAAGCTTTCTTTGTCCCTAGGTTCCCCTCTCTCTCTCTCTCTCTTTCTCCATCACCTTGATGTAAGCTCTCGCTATGGCCAGCCTATTAAATTGCAATTTTCTTTGTCCATTTGCGTTTGTCTCTACTGACCTTAATTTTCGCTTTGCCAATTAGAAAAAAAAAAACAGACATATGTACTTTCATGTGAGTTTCCCCCTTTCCCCACCTTCCCCAGGTTTATAGTTGCCCTCCACACAAGTGACAACAAGTTTGCATTCGAATTTAATTATTACATTTGCGTTTTCTCTTTCATTTGAAAATTGCCATGAAATTTATTTCCTAGTCGATTGACTGGTTTTCTAGCAATGACGAGGGGGGATTGGAAATTTCGGGGAAGAAAAAAAAATCGGGAAGAAAAAAAATTATTTGGACCTTAAAAAATATTTTTAAAAAATCCACATAAATATTTGGAATTTGAAAAAATATTTTTAAAAATCCAAGTTTGCTGAGGATCCTTTAAAAAATATTTTTAAAAATCCACGTTTGCTGAGGATCCGTTAAAAAATATTTTTAAAAATCCACGTTTGCTGAGGATCCTTTAAACAATATTTTTAAAGAATCCACGTTTGGTGAGGATCCGTTAAAAAATATTTTTAAAGAATCCAGGTTTGGTGAGGATCCTTGAAAAAATATTTTTAAAGAATCCACGTTTGGTGAGGATCCGTTAAAAAATATTTTTAAAAATTCACGTTCATATAGGGACCTTGAAAAAATATTTTTAAAAAATCCACATTCATATTTGGACCTTGAAAAAATATTTTTATCATATATGGACCTTGAAAAAATATTTTTAAAAAATCCACGTTAATATTTGGACCTTGAAAAAATATTTTTAAAAAATCCACGTTAATATTTGGACCTTGAAAAAATATTTTTAAAAAATCCACGTTAATATTTGGACCTTGAAAAAATATTTTTAAAAAATCCACGTTAATATTTGGACCTTGAAAAAATATTTTCAAAGAATCCACGTTCATATTTGGACCCTGAAAAAATATTTTTAAACATCCACATTCATATATGGAACTTGAAAAAATATTTGGGAAAGGAAGAAAATAATTTTCAAAAAAAAAATTAAATTTTGTCAGGCAAAGGTTCTCAAATAATACACTTTTCCTAAACGTCCTTGGAAAAATATTTTTAAAAATCCACGTTTGCTGAGGATCTGTTAAAAAATATTTTTAAAAATTCACGTTTGCTGAGGATCCTTTAAACAATATTTTTAAAGAATCCACGTTTGGTGAGGATCCGTTAAAAAATATTTTTAAAGAATCCACGTTTGGTGAGGATCCTTGAAAAAATATTTTTAAAGAATCCACGTTTGCTGAGGATCCTTGAAAAAATATTCTTAAAAAATCCACGTTCATATATGGACCTTGAAAAAATATTTTTAAAAAATCCACGTCTGTTGAGGGTTCTTGGAAAAATATTTTTTAAAAATCTACATTCATATTTGGACCTTGAAAAAATATTTTTAAAAAATCCACGTTCATATATGGACCTTGAAAAAATATTTTTAAAAATCCACGTTCATATTTGGACCTTGAAAAAATATTAAAAAAAATCCACGTTCATATTTGGATCTTGAAAAAATATTAAAAAAAATCCACGTTCATATTTGGATCTTGAAAAAATATTTTTAAAAAATTCACGTTAATATTTTGACATTAAAAATTTTTTTTTAAAAAATGCACGTTCATATATGGACGTTGAATAAATATTTTTAAAAAATCCACGTTCATATCTGGACCTTGAAAAAATATTTTTAAAAAATCCACGTTAATATATGGACCTTGAAAAAATATTTAAAAAAATCCACGTTAATATTTGGACCTTAAAAAAATATTTTTAAAAAATCCACATTAGTTGAGGGTCCTTGAAAAAATATTTTTAAAAAATCCACGTTTGTTGAGGGTCCCTGAAAAAATATTTTTAAAAAATCCACGTTTCTTGAGGGTCCTTGAAAAAATATTTTAAAAAAATCCACGTTTCTTGAGGGTCCTTGAAAAAATATTTTTTATAATATCCAAGGAACTTGAAAAAATATTTTTAAAAATCCACGTTTCTTGAGGGTCCTTGAAAAAATATTTTTAAGAAATTCACGTTTGTAGAGGGTCCTTGGAAAATATTTGTAAAAAGTAGGTTTTAAAATAATTCCAAAAAATATTAAAAAAATTTTTAACACACTGCCTATCATCTGTCCACCCTATCCCCGATGGCTACTTGCACTGTCTGCCTCAAGCTTGGTGGACCAGTTTGGTTTTCGGTTTCTGTCAAGTGACAGTTATGTTGGCAAGTGTATATTGTCATGGCAATATCTCGGCATAGCTAAACTTGTACATGTTTAGATATATATCCAAGGCACATAAATAAAAATATATGAATTTGTAAAGAAAAAAATCACTGGCGAGACATATTGTCATATGCCCACATAGCATCAACCATCCCTCCATCCCCTCTCTCTCTCTCTTTCCCAGTAGATATTTATTCAGGGTCAACTTGTTTTAAAAAAACAAAAACAAAAAACATTCTATTTGTTTGGCATTTGTTTGTATATAGAATTTATCTTATTGTTGTTGTAATATTGTTGTATTTAGTTTGTTGTAACAAGTAGGAAAGAAAACAGTGAAAAAAACGGTATTAACGCTGTAACAGGTTTCTCTTGGCGAGAAACGGTGGTCATGGAGGCCCCCTTGAACATGTTCCGTTATATAAATGACATAGAAATTAACTGGAACTGGAAATTGTTAACAAACAATGGTGAATTGAAATAAATATTTCATGGGAAATAAAATGTTATTTTTTGTGAAGGACATGGCCGCAGGATGTGAATATGCCCACACGCAAAGGGAGATAATGTAACAGTTTTCCTCTCTGAGATTAATTGGAATTTTATTTTGGATTAGCTCACATTCTTGGAATACGATGGAAATTTCATAATCGATAGAATTTAGGGAAAATTTAAGGAAATAATATTTCAAGTCTACGATAGTTCAATAAATCTACATCTACTCTACCGTAGATGTCCCCTGGCAACATCTACTCTCGAGTAGATGTCCCCTAACAACATCTACTCTAGCGTAGATGTCCCCTGACTACATCTATTCTACCGTAGATGTCCCCTGACAACATCTACTCTACCGTAGATGTCCCCTGACAACATCTACTCTACCGTAGATGTCCCCTGGCAACATCTACTCTCCGATAGATGTCCCCTGGCAACATCTACTATACCGTAGATGTCCCCTGGCAACATCTACTCTCCGGTAGATGTCCCCCGACAACACCTACTCTATCGTAGATGTCCTCTGGCAACATCTACTTTACAGTAGATGTCCCCTGGCAACATCTACTCTTACGTAGATGTTCATTGGGACCATCTGCTCTTAAGTAGATGTCGCCTGGTAGCATCTATCGGCAGTAGATGTCCCCTGGCAACATCTACTCTACCATAGATGTTCCCAGGCAACATCTACTCGGCAGTAGATGTCCCATGGAAAAATCTACTCTACCGTAGATGTATCCGGAGACCATCTACCCTACAGTAGATGTCGCCTGGCAGCATCTACTCGGCAGTAGATGTCCCCTGGCAACATCTACTCTACCATAGATGTCCCCTGGCAACATCTACTCTACCATAGATGTTCCCAGGCAACATCTACTCTACTGTAGATGTCCCCTGGCAATATCTACTCTGCAGTAGATGTCCCCTGGCAACATCTACTCTGCAGTAGATGTCCCCTGGCAACATCTACTCTACAGTAGATGTCCCTTGACAATATCTACTCTATCGCAGATATCCCCCGAGGCCATCTACTCTACGATAGATATCCCTCGAGGCCATCTACTCTACCGTAGATGTCCCCTGACATCATATACTCTGCAGTAGATGTCTCTTGGCAACATCTACTCTACCGTAGATGTCTCCTGGCAACATCTACTTTACAGTAGATGTCCCCTGACAATATCTACCCTTACGTAGATGTTCATTGGGACCATCTGCTCTTAAGTAGATGTCGCCTGGCAGCAACTATCGCCAGTAGATGTCCCCTGGCAACATCTACTCTAGCGTAGATGTCCCCTGACAATATCTACTCTATCGTAGATATCCCCCGAGGCCATTTACTCTACGGTAGATATCCCTCGAGGCCATCTACTCTACCGTAGATGTTCCCTGGCAACATCTACTCCATCGTAGATGTTCCCTGGCATTATCTACTCTATCGTAGATGTCCCCTGGCAACATCTACTCCAGCGTAGATGTCCCCTGGCAACATCTACTCTTCCGTAGATGTCCCCTGGCAACATCTACTCGGCAGTAGATGTCCCATGGAAAAATCTACTCTACCGTAGATGTCTCCGGAGACCATCTACCCTACAGTAGATGTAGCCTGGCAGCATCTACTCGGCAGTAGATGTCCCCTGGCAACATCTACTCTACCATAGATGTTCCCAGGCAACATCTACTCTACCGTAGATGTTCCCAGGCAACATCTACTCTACTGTAGATGTCCCCTGGCAATATCTACTCTGCAGTAGATGTCCCCTGGCAACATCTACTCTGCAGTAGATGTCCCCCGAGGCCATCTACTCTACGATAGATATCCCTCGAGGCCATCTACTCTACCGTAGATGTCCCCTGACATCATATACTCTGCAGTAAATGTCTCTTGGGACCATCTACTCTACTCTAGTCCGAAATAAAGCCTCGGATTCCAATGACCTTCTATTCTCAATAAAATTTGGTCCTTCGAGTCATTTTTAAATTTAGCAATAATTTATTCAAAATGGTCCTTCGACCTTCTTCCAAATTTTTATAAAATTTTAAAAATGTTTCGTACTCACCTAAATCTGGTATCGAGCTGGATGGCTCTTCACAGCTGCCATTTAGACCCATTGAACTAGAGCTGGACATTGATGTCTGCTGTTGATGGGAACCCATAGAGGATGAGGCTGCTGACGATGACGACCCCGATGATGAGGATGGAGAACAGGCCATGGCCGATGATCTGTCGGCCATACAGTTGCCGGGACCACCACCTATAACGACTGCATGATGTGTACCACCCAGACCCAGGGAGGCAGAGGTGTGTTTGATTTTTGGTGGCGGCGGTGGTGGTGGTGGACGCATGGCAGTATTGTTGGAGGTACAGGAATTTGTGGAAGAATTCGAAACGGCGGAGGCGGAGGAGGAGGAAGAAGAAGACGTAGAATTTGTTAAGTGATGACCGCTACTGCTGGAAACTACAGGAGTACGAAAAATGTGAGTTGACGACGAATTAGCAGAATTCAGGGTGGAGGGGGTGACGGATGAAGATGATGACGAAGAAGATGATGATGATGATGGTAAGTAGACTTGTTGTTGTTGTTGGTGATGATGATGATGATTATTGTGAAGACCTGATGATGAATGCTGATGATTTGTGGGCGTGGATGTAATAATGTGATGTTGTTGTTGTTGTGGCGGCTGGCCTGATTGGTGGGCGGCATAGGCCAGATGTGTGGTGGCCTGTTGCTGGTGTTGGGAGTGCTGATGATGGTGCGGCTGATTGCTGTTGGTAATGAGATTGACCACATATTTTCGGGTGGCCGGTGAATTTGTAATGATATATTTCTGACCTGTAACGGGATTTCCTGAAGAAGACGAGGAGGAGGAGGCCGCCGAACTTTGTGTTGGCGGTGGCGGAGGTGGAGGCGGCGGCGGTGGTGGCGATGACGGCGAAGACGATGACCCGGATTGAGGCGTGTAACGTCTTATCAGACCGACAGCCCCGCCGTTGGCTGGTGAAACCGGCGCGGAACGCGAGTAGTGTTGCAAGGGCGGCGGTGAAACCGATTGCCTTCTCAGGCTATTGGCACAGGCAATGGTGGTGGTCGACTCCTCATAGAGACGGCCATCGCGTATGACGCGCACATGTTGCTGCGACGGTTGTGGTTGCTGTTGAAACTGTTGGTTTGAGGCTAGGGAACCTGAGCTCAATGATTGCTGTGATGGTTGTTGTTGTTGTGACTGTTGCTGGTGATGTAAAGGCGGTGGTGATGAAGGCGCTGAGTGGCTATTCTGACTGTGGGATACAGCCAATGAAACTCGATGATATTGCGAGGGACTGGCGGAGTGACGCCGTGAGATGTGATGCCCCGGAGACCCCGTTGAAGAGACTGTGGCGGCGGCAGCAGCTGAGGAGGGCAGGGTTCGGGTAATAATTATCTGCTGTCCTGTCCCGCCCGTCCCTGAACGCTGCTCCCCGCTAAGCGGTATTTGTACATATTCCACACGTGGTGTGAGAATGACCTTCTGAGAGTTGCCGTTGTTGGTAATGCCCTGACGTGGAGGTACGGTTTGAACTTGTACATGTTGGTAACGCTGCGGGGGAGGCGGGGGTTGGGTTGCTGTGGAAATCATGTTGGCGGCATTATTGTCGGAGGACATTTGACGCTCTCGCAGATCCTTTTCCTCGAGATGTAGCATCTCATAGTCCAGGGGTTCGGTTTTGATGATTTTTATCCCCGGAGCCAGGGTGGTGGTGGAGGTATTTGCCTGAGCACTACCCCCAGGGTTGCCAACCCCATTGCTGTTGTTATTACTCGTATTGGCATTGGCCTCTCTAGCCAAATTGGCCGCTGCCTCTAGGCATCTCAGTTTTTTCAACATTTTTTCTTTTTTTTTTTTTTTTTGAGGGGGGAGCGGGGCTTCTCCTTGGATTTTTTTTAGAAAAATATATAACTTTGTTCCAAAACTATTTTGTATTTTTTTGTTTGCTGGGTGGATTATATCCAAATCACTTGTTTTTGTTGTTGTTGTTGCTGACTTGAGTAAACCTTAAAGAATTTTTTTTTTGTTTTTTGATCTATGGCTGGCTTCTGATTTAGCTTTGACTCCCTTTATTTTTTAGGTTTAAATCCTTATGAGCTACAAATTTGTTATCCTTATAAAAAAATCAGTCTCTTCTCTTGAGGGTGTGTGTGTAGGTGTATGTCCTCTGTGTGTTGTGATGATGATATCCTTGATTTGATCCTGGAATTTTTCTCTTTTTTGTTTTTTTTTTTCTCTTACTTCTCCAACCTTTGCTTCTAGCTTTGCTTAGACTTAGCTTAAATTTTAGATTTGTATTTCAAATTTTATTCAAAATATTTGATCAGCCTTCAATGTTGCATATCCTTAAACTGCCTTAAATTACTGCCAAAGGAAAAAATGGTTCAAAAATTTTTATGTTTTTTTTCGAGCTCTCTCACCACATCCTTTTTAAGGTCCTTAAGCCGAAAATTTGTTGATTTTTTTCTGATATATAGAAATATATGTATATATAATTTGTTATATAGCATGTAATAATGATAATATATGTATGTTGTTGTTGTTTTTTTATATCCTCTGATTTCAATTGCTGTTGTCACGTTGTCCTTAAACCTGCTTCTGTTGCCTTAAGATAATCCTAGGGGTTGTTTGTTTTATTTTTTTTTTTTTTTGTTTAATTTTTAGATGAATATAATTTTTAATATTTTTAATATTATTTTGTTTTATATATAATTTTTTGTGATTTTTTTTATTTTTTAATGGAAATTTTGTTTTTATTGTTGAGTTATCCCTTTTTCTCACTTGTAGTTGTTATTGCCTCAGTAGGGGAAGTATGCTGATGATGTATTGTATCCTAATAATACTTGTTGTGGTAGTTGATGATTGGGGTTGGTTGTTGCTGATTTTTTTTTTATTTTTTAAATAATTTTAAAATAATAGGTGATTATTTTTTATAGATTTTATGATGTAGAAAACTGTAAAGAAAAAAAAGAAAGGGGGTTTTAATTAGTAAAAATTTAAAAAAAAATTTAATAATTTTTTAAATGTGTCAATGAGAGAGAATTTTTAGATATGCCATGTTTGAAAAGAATCCCTAACTTAATTTGCGAGTTATGAGAGATATAAGTGCTAAAAATTGTAACCTTTTGTGCGGGAGGTACCAGAAGGAGTAGTCCGATATATTCCATCTTTACACCAGATTTTGGGTTGATAAAAATATTGGGATGTGTGGATTTTGAGGAGAATTGGAAGCTTATTTCATATTTTATGAGCATTTTCGTTATTCAAAATGTTAACCCCTTTGTGGGGGAGGTATCTGAAGGAGTGGTTCGGTATACACCATTTCTACACCAGATTTTTGGTTGATAGAAATATTAGGATGTGCGGAATTTGAAGACGATCTGATGTTTATTTCATATTTAACGAGAGTTATATATTTTTCAAAATGTTGACCCCTTTGTGGGGGAGGTACCAGAAGGAGTGGACCGATATACACCATTTTTACACCAGATTTTTGGTTGATAGAAATATTAGGATGTGCGGAATTTGAAGACGATCTGATGTTTATTTCATATTTAACGAGAGTTATATATTTTTCAAAATTTTGACCCCTTTGTGGGGGAGGTACCAGAAGGAGTGGACCGATATACTCCAACTTCACAGCAGATCTTGTGCTAGTAGAAATATTAGGATGTGTGAAATTTGAAGAGAATCGGGTGCTTAATTTCCCATTTTATAAGCGTTTAGATCATTAAAAATTTTGACCTCTTTGTGGGGGAGGTACCAGAAGGAGTGATGCGATATATTCCATTTTCACACCAGATTATGTGTTAATAAAAACATTAGGATGTGCGGAATTTGAAGAGAATCGGTTGCATTCTTCGCATTATATGAGAGTTATAATTATTCAAAATGTTGACCCCTTTGTGGGGGAGGTACCAGAAGGAGTTTACCGATATAGTCCATCTTTGCATGAGATATTGTTTTAGTAGAAATATTGGGATGTGCCGAGTTTGAAATTAATCGGATGCATATTTTACAATTTTATAAGCGTTTTAATTATCAAGAATTTTGACTCCGTTGTGGGGGAGGTAGCAGGAGTGGTCCGAATTATTCCATTTTCACAGCAGATTTTCTGTTATATAAATATTTGGATGTGTAAAATTTCGAGACAATCGGACTTTAAAGTCACAGTTTATAAGAGTGATAATTATTCAAAATGTTAACCCTTTGTGGGGGGAGGTACCAGAAGGAGTGGTCCGAAATATTCCATCTTCACACTAGATTTTCTGTTAGTGGAAATATTGAGATGTGCGGAAATGTAAGAGAATCGGATGCTTATTTCACAGTTTATAAGAGTGATAATTATTCAAAATGTTAACCCTTTGTGGGGGAGGTAGCAAAAGGAGTGGTCTGATATATTCCATCTTCATACCATAGTTTGTGTTGATAGAAATATTGGGATGTGTAAAATTTGAAGAGAATCGGATTCTTATTTCGCGTTTTATGAGTTTCATGATTATTTAAAATTTTAACCCCTTGGTGGGGGAGGTACCAGAAGGATTAGGCCGATATTATCCATTTTCACACGTGCCATAGCATTTATAAAAATTTTAGGATTGGCAAAGTTTGAACAAGATCAGTTGATCTTTTCTTATTCTATAAGGTATATTATTTTCTGTGAAAATGCTGAACTTTTGTGGAGGAGGTACCAGAAGGAGTGGGCAAATATTGCCCATCACCGAACTTGATTCTAGTTTGACAATAATATTACGATGCACCAAGTTTGGATCAAATCGGATACTCCTTTTGAGAGTTATCGTTCTTACCAGCCAGACAGACTGACGGATAGACACCCCTAGATGGACTCCAAATGTCTTAAAACGGATTCGGCCCAAAGAGGACTATGGTCTACAACCGAAGAGGCACGTTTTGGCCGTATGCAAGGATATATGCCCTCTGTAGCCAAAAATATGACCTTTAAAAGACGAGGTATTTTTTAAAAATATTTTTCCAAGGATTTATAACAAGCCGAGAATTTTAAAAAATGCGAGAAACTCAACCAATGAAGTTATTTTTTAAAATATATTTCCAAAGACTTTCAACAAAAGTGCAATTTTTAAAAATAATTTTTGCAGGACATTCATTAAATGAAGAATGTTCAAAAATACCTTTGAAGGACCTTCGACAATGCAGGATTTTTTTTTTAATTTTTGTTAAGGATCTGCAAAATACCTAGATCTTTAAAAAAAATATATATTTTCAAAGACTTCCAACTAACGAGAAATTTTTGAGAAACTAAAGTTATATCTTTTAAAAAATACTCCTTAAAGGCCTTAGCAAACTTGGAAATTTAGAAAATTATTTTTCTAGGACCTTAAATAGACGTTGAGTTTTTAAGAATATTTTCCTAGAAAATTCAAGAAACATAGAAGTTAAAAAAATATTATTTCAAGAATTTTCAGCAAAAGTGAGATTTTCAAAAATCCTCAAATTTTTAAACAGATTTTTTCAACAATCAATATTTGTAAATTTTTCCAAGGATGAGATGTTTCTTGGGACCTTTAATAAACAAAAATAATTTTAAATACTTTCAAAGGACCATTTAGTATTTAAAAATATTTTTTACGACTTATAATAATCCAGGAATATTTAAAATAATTTTTTAGGACATTTAATTATCACTGGCATTTTTAAAAATATTTTTTTGGACCTTTAATAAAACTAGAATTTTTTATAAAATTTTGTTAACGACCAGTTATAGACCTGGACTTAATGAAATTTTGTTTCTAGAGGGCCTGCTTCTTTAAATAAAATCTTGTAAGGATCTTCAACAAACAGGACATTTTAAAATAGAAAAATAAAACACAATTTATTTAAAATATTTTTAAATGGACTTTATCAAGCGTGAAATCTTGAAATCTTCTTATATAAATAAGTGAAATAATAATTTTTTTAAGAAAAATACTCTCACCTTAATATAAATTATATTATAAATAAATATGTTGATGTAGAATATATTTGATGATGTTGTTGTTTTTTGTTGATTAAATTAAATAATATCCATAGGTTAGGTTATTTTTTTTAAGTCTGGGTAGTTTGGTTATAGTAGGAAATAAATATTTTTTTTTATTAAAAAAAATATATATGTTAAAATATTTTTTTTTAAATTATTTTCACACAAGAAATTAGGTTTCTCACTTAAGATTCATAAAATAATTTAAATCCACAAAAAATATTTTATTTTTCCATAGAAATTAATGATGATTTTGAGTTAGGTAGTATTTATATACAAAATTTTTTCACATTTATTTCTTATTTTTTTCTTAACAAAAATATATATTTTATTATTATTTTTTTTATTATTTTACTTTGAAGGTATTTTGAAATTATTTTCCACAACTAGTTTTTAGATTAGCCATTTTTGTAGTATTTTGTTGTTGAAAATTAAAAAACGAAAACCTGAAATGAGATAGGAGAAAAAAGGTTGAGATTAGATTTTTTTTTTGGAAAAAGAATTAAACATTTATTTGGAAGGTAAAAATGAAATAAAAAATAAAAATAAATAAAAAAAAAATAAATAAAAAATTAAAAAATAAAAATAAATAAAAATATTAATTATAAAAACTAAGTTTATAAGAGTTATAATAATAATTATTACTATTTTTATAAAAAGTATTATTTTAATTATTATTATTATTATTATTATTATTATTATTATTATTATTATTATTATTATTATTATTATTATTATTATTATTATTATTATTATTATTATTATTATTATTATTATTATTATTATTTATTTATTTATTATTATTATTATTAAGTTATTATTATTATTATTTATTTGGAAGGTAATAATGAAATTAAAAATAAAAAATTAAAAAATAAATAAAAATTAATAAAAATAAATAAAAATATTAATTATAAAAACTATATTTATAAGAGTTATAATAATAATTATTACTATTTTTATAAAAAGTATTATTATAATTATTATTATTATTATTATTATTATTATTATTATTATTATTATTATTATTATTATTATTATTATTATTATTATTATTATTATTATTATTATTATTATTATTATTATTATTATTATTATTATTATTATTATTATTATTATTATTATTATTATTATATTGTTTCTACAGGTTGAGATAAAAAAAACTGCAATAAAGTCAAAGCCATAGTTTTTACATTTTTTTCTTATTTTTTAATTTTTTTTTTTTTTTTTTTTTTTTTTTTTAATGAAAGCAAAAAATGCCGGAAAAAGCATCAAATCTTAGACTAACTTTAGATTTGTTCGAATTGATCACCTTTGGCACGAATTATGGCCTTCAAACGGCCAGTGAAACCGTCACACGCTGCCCAAATGTTGCTCTGCGGTATTTTGGCCCATTTCCGGCGAAGCGCTTGTTTGAGGTGATCGACACTTTGGTATTTTTTAGTGCCAACATTGCTTCCCAAAATACTCCAGACACAATAGTCCAACGGATTGGTATCCGGAGATTTTGGTGGCCATTTTTGCTTTCATTCAATAAAATTAAAAAAAAAATAATGTAAAAATTATGGCTTTGTCATTAATGCAGTTTTTTATCTCACCCTGTATATTTTTTAAATACTTTCAGTTATTTTTTTTTCAATTTTTCCATTTTCCCTCTCCCCACAATTTTTATTCTATATTTGCTTTAGTGTAATTTTTCCATGTTTTTTTAGGTATATATTAATTATTTTCTATTTGTTATTATGGTTAGCATATTTATTCTCTTTCTCGTTGTTGTTGTTGTTTTATTGCTGGTTTGTTGTTTATAAGCGCATTTCGTTGCTGGCTGACTGGCTGGCTGACTAAATGGCTAAACAAAATAGCTTTGCGTCTAAAAAAGTAAAGATAACCTTGAAATATTTTACTGCCGCAAACAAAAAAACAACGGTGGAGAAGAAAAAAAAAACAGCAAACGCAAAAGTACCAGCAGAACGTGTGTACAAACATATGTACTGTGTACATATGTATGAACGAACGTAATCAGCACAATCGTACGACAACATAAAATAAGTTCAATGTGGTGTTGGAAAGAATTGTTTTTTTTTTGTATTTTTTTTTTTGGAATGGAAAAATCTTATTTAGAATTTTTGATCTAATAATACTTGATTTTTTTATTTATTTATTATTATTATTATTTTTTGCTCTACTATTGTCTCTGGGAGACAGGTTTGATTTCTGTTTATTATTCAAAGTTCTGATGCAGCGTAGACAAAAAAAATTGACCATATGTGTCATCATCATCATCAGCAAACTGATCAGGGGTTTGCTTTGAATATCAACTAGGAAACTATTTTCGTTTTTGCCATTCATAATGGGTATGGATTATGACTACTCAGAACACTTCCGTGTATATTTTATTGGGAATTTAAAGGAATTAGTTTATAAAATGGAAGTATATTTTTTTAAAACATATTTTTTGTAGGTTCTAAACAAGCATGGATTCTATAAAAAATATTTTTCAAAGACTCTCAACAAACGCCCATTTAAAAAAAAAAAAAAAATTAAGGACCCTCAAAATATGAGACTACTTTTTAAAATTTTTTTTTAAAGATTCTCTACCAAATGCGTCTATTTTTTAAATATTTTTCAAGAACCCTCAACAATCCCGGATTTTTTAAAAATATTTTTCCAAGGACCCTCAAAAAACATGGATTTTTAAAAATATTTTTAAGACCTCTGACAAACGAGGATTTTTTAAATATATTTTTCCAAGGACCCTCATAAAACGTCGATTTTTATATAAAATATTATTCCAAGGACCCTCAACAAAGGTGAACGACAACAAATTTGGATTTTTTAAAAATATTTTTTGCAAATATTCTCCACAAACGTGAATTTTTAAAAATATTTTTCCAAAGACCATCCGTGGATTTTTTTTAAATAATTTTCCAAGGTCCCACAGCAAATGTGGATTTTTTAAAAATATTTTTCCAAGGACCCTCAACAAACGTGTATTTTTTTATATTTTTCCAAGGACCATCAACAAATGTGGATTTTTTAAAAATATTTTTCAAAAGACCCTCAGCAAAAAGAGGATTTTTTTAAATATATTTTTTCAAGGATCCTCAACAAACCTGGATTTTTAAAAATATATTTTTCCAAGTATTGTCCACAAACGTGAATTTTTGAAAAATATTTTTCCAAGGACCCTCAACAAACGTGGATTTTTAAAAATATTTTTACGGACCTCTGACAAATGTGGAATTTTAAAAATATATTTTTCCAAGTATTCTCCACAGACCTGGATTTTTTAAAAATATTTTTCCAAGGACCCTCAACAAACGCGGATTTTTTAAAAATATTTTTAAGGACCTCTGACAAACGTGGATTTTTACAAATATTTTTAATGACCTCTGACAAACGTTTTTTTTTTTCAATATAACCCCAAAAAACTTGGATTTCTTAAAAATATTTTTAGGGCCCTCTTACAAACGTGAATTTTTTTTAATATTTTTAAGGATCTCTGACAAACGTGGATTTTTAAACAAAATATTATTCCAAGAACCCTCAATGAATGTTGATTTTTTTAAAAATATTTTTCCAAAGACCCTCAAAAAACGTGGATTTCTTAAAAATATTTTTAGGGACATCTGACAAACGTGATTTTTTTAAATTCTTTTAAGGACCTCAGACAAACATGGATTTTTTAAAAATATTTTTAAGGATTTATGGCAAACGTGGATTTTTTAAAAATTGTTTTTAAGGACTTATGACAAACGCGGATGTTTTTAAAATATTTTTTAAGAACTTATGACAAACGTGGTTTTTTTAAATATTTTTTAAGGACTTATGACAACCGTGGATTTTTTTTAAAATATTTTTTAAGGACTTATGACAAACGTGGTTTTTTTAAATATTTTTTAAGGACTTATGACAAACGTGATTTTTTTTAAATATTTTTTAAGGACTCATGACAATCGTGGATTTTTTAAAATATTTTTTAAGAACTTATGACAAATATTATTCCGAGGACCCTTAGAAAACGTGGATTATTAAAAATATATATATTTCTTTTAAATCCACGTTTGTGGAGAATCGTGGATTTTTAAAAATATTTTTCCAAAGACTCTCAGTCAATGTGGATTTTTTATATATATTTTTCCAAAGACCCTCAATAAAGGTAATTTTTTTAAAAATATTTTCCAAGGACCCTCAACAAACGTAGATTTTTTTAATAATATTTTTAAGGACCTCTGACAAACGTGGATTTTAAATTTCTTTAAATTTCCAAAGACCCTCATTTCTACTAACACAATATCCGGTGTGAATATAGAATATATATATCCACTCCTTCCAGTACCTCCCCCACAAAGGGGTCTAAATTTTAAATAACAAAAATTTTCATAAAATGCGAAATAAGCATCCGATTACTTTCATACTCAGCCCAACTTAATATTTCTATCATCAGGCGATCTGATGTAAAGGTAGATTATATCGGTGTACTCCTTCTGGTACCTCCCCCACAAATAGGTAAAAATTTGGAATAACCAAAATGGTCATAAAATTCGAAATATGCATTCCACTCATTCTAAGCTTTATACATGCAAATATTTCTATAAATACAAGGTGTATTTTGATTATGGTGGATATAAGCCCACTCCTTCTGGTACCTCCCTTACAAAGGGGTCAAAATTTTTAATGGACCTTCAACTATCCTTAATTTTTTTATAAATATTTTTTTCAAGGTTCCCTGGGTTTGAAAAGATTTTCTTTTAGGGGCCCTCAATGAACTTAAAATTTTCAAAAAATATTTTTAAAAAGTCCACGTTTATTACTGAACCTGCAAAAATATTTTTAAAAAAATCCACGTTCGTAAAGCGTGCTAGAAAAAAATCTATAATTTTCTATTCAGATTCTCCTTCACATTATTTTTCCTTCCTTCACATTATTTTTTCGTGGGACAAAAGCAGACGTAATTTTTTTTTAAATTATTTTGCAAACACCAAATATAGAATTTTTTTTTTTTTTTGTGAAAAAATATTTTGTCTTGGACCCTCAACAACTCTCAACTTTTATGGCCAAGACTATGAAGAGAGTAC